TGTTGTGCGTACTTGAAAAAATGACCACGCTACGCGCCTGATGATCTGGTTTGGGTAATGTGATCTGCAGATAACGTTGTTCTTCTTACTTTAGGTCTCAATTATTTGTAGAACTAACTCAGCTGCAACAGGAGACTGATTTTAGCATCGTGCAACCAAATTTCGTTTGCGTTTGTTATATTTTTGAGAACATTGCACTAGCGATGATGATAAATATCATTTTCAGCAACCTTGACATAAATTCAATTTTCTCCTTCAGCCGTGATCAGTCTGGCAAAAGAATCACAAAAGTGCAGCAAAATTTTTTCACAGAAAAGTAAACTACACACCAAAACTAAAAAGTAGAACAGTGAGGGTAATGTCAGTTAGTGAGAGTGTTAACTAAACTTTTTTCCTTCGTCTTTGTTACAAACCCATTCAATTTGTATTTGTCACCAATGTGGTTGGATCATTTGTGTACGTTTAGTATTCACGCATTCACAAACACAACTTATCCTTTCTCACCTGTAATATTTCCTCGTGTCTAAAGCCTCTTAGAGCGTGTTCCTGTATCAGAGGTGACCTTGTCCCACTTGGTAGCCTATGATCCTGAGATGGACCTGCTCCCCGTCATCCTGGCACATTGTAACTACTCTCTAGAGGTGGGACAGGAGACTTTAGTCCACTATGATTGGGCGGCTATGGAGAGACCGTTGATTGACAGGTTGTTAAGAGGAAGGCCTTTTGTCGAGTTTAAGGTAGGTTGAAAATATTCAGGAACTAAATTACGTGAAGAGGGAAACATTTTCTGTCGTTTCTAGGTAATTCGTTTTCACCACAGGAATGTTTTCATTGTCTTCCCATTCTTACCAGGTGTGTTTCGTTTTATCAGAAACAGGTATAATCCCATTTTTCAGGCATGTTTCTTTTGTCGAAATATGCTTTTAAAATCAATAAGAAAAGTTTGTATCATCAGACAACAAAACTTACCATTTGTCACGTTTCTAACGTAGGACTTCTGTCACGGAACAGTCAGAGCAGATATCGTTTCAGAGAAATTAGTTTGTAGGGTAAAGGGTTAGTGCGCACGCTGCTTCACGTGTTAGCAAGTTTTGTAAAAGCAGTGCTATCAACCCTATTTTGCAATTCTTGTCACTGAGCTTTATGCATCCGGTGTGGAATTTTTCAGGAGGAGCGTTTTGTGTTCAGCCG